TCCGCCTCAGCTGTGCTGCGCTGTCTACCCCACTTACCTTAGCTTGTTTTAGAAGTCATTGTTAGAAGTGAGTATTATTAAGTGCTGTGAAATTCTGGCATTCATACGAATGTAGGAGGTAATGGTAACTCTATTGTAAGTTAGCAATGATGTTTAGTTGTAAAAAAGAAAACCGCAAAAGAACAGTAGAGCGGCAGAAGATTTTTCTTGTCTTGATTATGGTGTGACTGATCAGCTGTTAAGCCTCTCTTGTATTTGACCTTTATGGGTCCATTTTACTAGTGCAAATTTAGGTGCTGTAAGTTCTTTTGACTTCTTTGTTAGGTGATTCTCAGTAAAAAAAATTAGGCAACTGGTGTCGATCCCTACACGGTCAGATGGGTCGCCAGTTGGCTGGAGGGCCGTACCCAGAGGGTGGTGGCAGATGGGTCTTTTTCGACCTGGAAGGATGTGGGCAGTGGGGTTCCACAGGACTCGGTCCTTGGGCCTGCACTGTTCAACATCTTCATCAGCGACTTGGACGAGGGGGTGAATAGCACCTTGTTCAAATTTGCAGGTGACATTAAGATGTGGAGGGAGGTGGGCATGGTAGAGGGGAGGGACAAGCTGCAGTCAGATCTGGACAGGTTACAGAGGTGGACAGATGAGAATAGGATGAGTTTCAACACTGATAAGTGCAAGGTTCTGCACCTGGGGAGGAAGAACCAGCAGCACACCTACAGGCTGGGGAACTTCCCCCTCGCCAGCACAGAGGTAGAAAAGGATCTTGGAGTCATTATTGACTCCAAGATGAACATGGGCCACCAATGTGGGGATGCAGTCAGAAAGGCCAACTGTAACTTGTCATGCATCCACAGATGCATCACGAGCAGGTCCAAGCAGGTGATCCTCCCCCTCTATGCAACAGGCTGGAGTTGGAGTACTGCATCCAGTTCTGGGCGCCGCACTCCAAGAGGGATGTGGACAACATTAAGAGGGTCCAGAGGAGGGCCACCCGCATGATTAGGGGGCAGCAAGGCAGGTCCTATGAGGATAGGCTATGGGATCTGAACCTGTTCAGCCTCCACAAGAGAAGACTGAGAGGGGATCTGGTGGCTGTCTATAAACTGGCCAAAGGAGACCAGCAGGCAATGGGAGAGTCCCTGTTCCTCCGAGCACTACTGGGAGTAACAAGGAACAATGGCCATATGTTGACAGAGAGCCGATTCAGGCTGGATATCAGGAGGTACTACTTCACGTTGGGCTGCTAGGATCTGGAACCAACTTCTGAGGGAAGTGGTCCTCACTCCTACTCTGGGGGTCTTTAAGAGGAGGCTAGATAGATACCTCGCCAGGGTAGTCTGACCCCACCATTCTTTCCTGCCTGTGGCAGGGGGTCGGACTTGATGATCTGCTCAGGTCCCTTCCGGCCCTACCAACTATGAAAACTGTTATTTTTGTACACACCTAACTATCTTTGCTATTCTTCTTGGCCACTTTAAAGCCCTTTTTACTTCTTGGCCACTTTAAAGCCCTTTTTACTGTTGTATACTTGATGCTAATAGTGAAGTCAATCCTGAAAAGACTAATCAATAAAAATCTTGCTGCTGATTTAGATTAAGAACCCATGCTCACTTGGTATTGTTGCAGATGTTCTGCCGTTAATTAAAATATGTAAGGATTTGGAAATTGTCAACGTGGAAGAAGAAATCCTAGGAAATCTTGTAGTATTGGTTGGATTATAGATGTTAACCCTTCAGACTGTTGCTGTGTTTAAAAATGATCTTGAAACCTGTATCTTCAATTTTTGGAAACTGGGGTTGCAAAAATTGTTTTAGAGCCTTGCTTCGTCTTCCTCCCTCATGCTAAACAGGATGGAGGTCCTGGAGAGGAACAGGGTTAAGAACTGCTGATTTTGAATGCAGTATATCAACAAGTTGCGACCTGAACGCAGGGAGCAGAAAATGAGTAGTCTGACTGAACTGAAAGAAAGAAAACAAATCATTACTCTTAACAATCAGGGGTGTGTGAAGCAGGCTATATTCAGTTTGAATTCGGCCCGATTCTGGGGACAGTGATTCAGTTTGCTGATTCGGATCGCTGTCCTGATTCGATTCGGTCGAATATGAAGATTCAATGCTGATTTGGAGAATCAGTGATTCGGCCATAGGTACGGCTTTATATGATTTTTCTACATACCTCGAGGTACCACACAGCTTGTGAATGCTGAGCTGGTTGGGTGGATGGAGTGTCTCACAAGAGTGCGGGGGGGTCCCCTGTGTGCTTGGCAGTAGACCTGGCCCTGGACCAGAAGTAATTCTGGTTCAGTCCGGGTCTGTTGCTGAGTGCACGGGGCAGCCCACCCCCCAGCCCTCCTCCTGGCTTGATGATTGGCCACAGCGGAACTCCAGATGCCCCCCCAGACCCAGAAGGCATCAGTCACTGAGCTGGGGGCTGGGAGGCGGGGGTCCCCCACGCACTCCGCAGCGGATTTGAAAGTGGACTGGAAGTACTTCTGGTCCGCTCATGGGTCCTCCACTGAGCACGCGGGGCATCCCTCCCCTCCACTCTTGTGGGATGCTCCATCCATCCCACCATTTGTATTCACGAGCTGTGCCTGGTACCTTGAGGTATGTAGAAAAAACATGTAAAGCTGGGTCTGTGTCCAAATCGTTGAATCTCTCCGAATCAAATTGGAGGCTTCCGATTTGATTTGGAGGGATTAATGGGTCTCCTGATTCAATTTGGATTTGGAGCTTCAGCCGCCGAATCGCACCAAATCTCCTCCGAATTGAATCGGTGACTGAAGCTTCGCACAGTCCTATTAACAATGTGTCCTCTTCTACTTATCCCATGAGAGGAGGTTACAAAACCTACAAGAAGGTCTTCACATAAATGCTCTTTGTTCCCAGATCACAGCTAGGAAAGCCTTTAATTGACTTTGTCCATGTGTTTTTTGTAAGGATCTTGACTGATTCTCCTATGGTAACTTCTTTCTTTCTCTAACCTGGCTGCCTCCATGAATCACAGTTGTGCTCAACCATTTCTCTTTCCCTTTCTTTGTTGCTGATGCCACTTAATGCTTTCCATTTCTATGCTTTCCTGCCACACATGGAGATTTGAGAAAGCACATGGTTGCACCACTTGTCCAGAAAATGAAGTAACATTTTTTTTTTCCGCACTGAAGAACTACCCTACCTTTTTAAAATCAGGGTCTGTTGTCACTGTAAACTGTTTGCTAATCTTAAATCTCTTAAATGTTAAAATACAAGCAATGGAGGAAAAGTTGACTTCCTTTTTCAGGGGCAGGCCTTAAACCATGGATCTGTCTAATCTTCCTGTTAAGTGTTACATGATGCTTCACATAAAAGGTAGAACTTCCCTACCCCTGGCCACAGTGCATCTTATTCAGTCCAGAACAAGGGTGAAGAAAAATCCTTTTCCCTGCAAAGGCTGCTGCAGGTTTGGAACTTCAGACCTTTGGCAGCCACCTAAATTCACCGGGAGGAAGAAGTTGCCAGGTGTAACTTTTCATATTCCACTATGTTTTCTTTTTTTATATTTTATTGAAATTGTACTGTTTTCAAAAACTCAGTGGTGCTTTCCATCCACTCTGCACCCCACCTTCCCAGCTCATTTAAATCCAACTGCTCATGATCCTTCAAAGCATTAACCATCTCTTCAGTCTTGCATGGAAAAACATACTGCATAGTTCTGGGCATGCTCATTCGTTGACAGAATTTGTTGTTCCTTTTAGTCCAGGTAAGTTCTGAAGGATATTATTCATTTTATTCCTTATCAGGAACATCAGATAATTTCAACACCATTGCTCCTGCTTTTTATTCCTTGACTGTCTTACCTCAGTCTGTGGCCCAGTCTACTTGTTCAGGGGAAATAGGCAAAGTTGTGTTAATCTTTTACTTAAACGAGTGGTACAAGTTTTTTTTGAAAAAAAGTCGTTGTCTTTGGTGCAATCAAAAGTCTCTACTTTGATAGAGTTTGATTGCTTAGCTCATTTAAGATGCATTAGCATTTTGGTAATAGAGTTTTCTAGAAAAGTATCCCTCCAGTATTTCAACATTTGAATTGCTCAAATACCTCCTCCAGCAAGGAAGGCAATTTACATTTTTTACTTTATATATCCATAATAAGAATTTATGTGGATCTGAATATTTTATACGCTATTACTTCTACATCATGAGCTCTTGAGTTATGAGATTTTATCATTCTCAGTCGTGAAGAGAGACTGTTGTCAGAAAATAATCGTTAATTTATCCAAACGCTGAAAGAAAGTAGGTAGAACACTTCTTTCACAGTTATAGGTTCACAGATGGTTACAGGTTCAGATGCATTTTAAATGTCCTTTTGTCATTCAAAAACAGTACACAGAAATCTTCATCTTCCAAAGTTGGGTGAAAATATATTTTCTGATTTTGAGCATAGACACAAAATCACTTTTTGAACATCTGACCTGCAACACTCAAAAGCTTCTGTAGGAAGCTCTCTTCCACCCCCTCCTTTCAATTTCTAAAATCCTGAGATTCCCTGCTTGGCAAGTCAGATAACTTTATAGAATTACATCTTTTATTTTTCTTTCCTCCCTTCCAGGAAAACCTGCTTTTATCTATATTGCCAGCTCATATCTCTATGGGAATGAAACTAGCCATCATAGAGCGACTCAAAGAAACCAATGATACTAGGCAAATACATGATAACAACTTCCATAGTCTATATGTGAAAAGGCACCAGAACGTCAGGTAAGTGAAGATAGTTTACAAATTGTTATATTAATAAATTATGCTGTATTTAATGTTAGTTTTTTATTGACAGTTAAGAATTGTCATGGTTGATACCAGTCCATTTAAAAGAATTTATGTTTGTGTGCTCAGACTATATTTGCTAAAGCTAGAACAGGAAAGAGAATATGTTAAGCAGGAAAATCCAGGAGAGCCTGGAGGGAAAAAGAGGCCTACAGGCCGTGGAAGCAGGGGGCTGCCACCAAGGAGGAGTATACCTGCTTGGCTTGAGCTTGCAGGGAAACAGGGAGGAGAACCAAAGTGGAAATGGAGCTTAGGCTGGCAGCAAAAGTTAAGGGTAACAAAAAGTCATTCTTTAAGTACATAGGAAGCAAAAAGAAGGTGCAGAGTAACTTAGGGTCCCTTCAAGCTGAACTAGGGCAACTGGTAACAGATAGGATGGCCAAAGCGGAGCTTCTAAATGCATTTGTGTTCCTGGACATGAATACAAATACGCATCCCATTGGGACCTTAGGTAAGCCCAGTATAGATACCAACCCACCAACTGTTCGTGCTGACGTAGTAAAGGGGCACCTGGAGTGGTTGAATGTATTTAAGTCAACAGCTCCTGATGATCTTCATCCTAGGGTACTTGGGGAATTACCTGGAGTCATAGCAGAGCTGCTGGCACAACTGTTTGAGCACTGGTGGCGCTCAGGACAGGTCCCAGAGGATTAGAAAAGGGCCAATGTGTGGTCCCTGTTTTCAAGAACAGGAGGAAGGAGGAACCGAGTAACTATAGGGTGGTTAGTCTCACCTCTATCCTTGGCAAGACCTTTGAGAAAATTGTTAAGGATCACATTTGTGGGGGATCAGTGGGTAAAATGATGCTAAGGGCCAATGAGTATGGGTTCATAGCAGGCAGATCCTGCCTGACTAATGACTGGGTCACAAAATGCTTGGATGAGGGAATAGAGATAAACGTTACTTAGATTTTAAAAAGGCCTTTGACATGGTGTCATACCCAGTTCTTATAAATAAACTAAACAGTTGCATTGTAGATTATTACACAGTCCAGTGGGTAGAAAATTGGCTTATGGGACACACCCAGAGGGTAGTAGTGGTTGGGTTGGTTTCTACCTGGAGAAACATGGGCAGCAGAGTCCCCCAAGGCTCTGTCCTGGGACTGGTACTATTCAATGTCTTCATTAGTGACTTGGATGAGGGAGTAGAAAGCACCCTGAGGGACACAAACTAGATGGCAGGTAGCAAATCCAGGCTGATTTGGACAGGCTGGGGAAATGGGTCAAGCAGAATAGGGTACAGTTTAACAAGGATAAGTGTCATGTGTTGCACCTGGGGAGGAAGCATCATCAACACTCCTATAGCCTGGGAGGTACCACTCT